TGATATTGTATTTTTTAACTTTAACTTTATCGATTGATTTGATAACTCACATATTTCTTATGTTTGTTTAATTCAGAATGAAATATTTCTAGTGTTTTAAAATAGTGTTTTACTTTAGTACGATGGAAACGACGTTTTGTTATATTAAAGAATATATCTTGATTTAGAAAAATCAGTTTTTATGTCATAATAATCCTGGGGTTAATTGCTTCGAGTTTATGACCTTTTTTTTTATAGAAGAAAATGTGAATTTTTAAGTTTATGCCTACCATAATAAAGAGTTTATTAGAATTCAAATTTATGACATAAGGTTCTAGTTGTAAGTTGTAACTTCTTCGTATTTGTTATCTGAAATATGACTAACTTATATCCGCGTCATGTAGAGTTTTTAAAAGAGAATGCGCTATATATGTACCAACAATTGTTTCTTTTTCAGAACTTTGAATCTGAAACTTTCAATTAATGATGAAGTGATATTACCAATTCCACCACACCGTACCCTATGATTCCATGGTTCTTTACTTTACTGTATCGTTTATTTAGAGATGCGACTTGAGCTTCTCTACCTTCATAAGATAGATGTAATGTTTACGCATACTCAACCTTTTTAAATTCTACAAATAAAACTATATTGCATTTGTTGTTGTTGGAGATGCCACTTTTGTGAGTTGGATGAAAGAAATGAAATTTCAATAATTTATTTGAAAATTTACTTAAATACACATCTTACTTTATCATAATCTCTAAAATTTCCTACAATTTAATTTTTTTTTTTTAAAATTCCCTTTCTGATACATCACTCTCCTCTCGCTGATAGATCCATATCCCTCTCTCTGATACATTACTCTCCTCTCGCTGATAGATCCATATCCCCCTCTCGGATACATTCCTCTCCTTTCTGATACATCGCTCCCCTCCCGAATACATCTCTCCCCTATGTATCCGGATGTCCTGTCACTTTCTGATACATCCCTCCCCTCTTGGATACATCCCTTCTCTATGTATCTGGATGTCCAGTGATGTATCCAAAAGTCCAGTGATGTATTCGGAAGTCCAAGTCATGTATGAGATTCATAAATTCTTAGGGATCTTGTAATTTGATATGGAGTAGAAAAATAATGTAATTAGCTCTTTAACACTATGGGATTTATGTAAATTATACTAATTTATTTGGTATCATACTAGGCCTTTCTAGTGTACTAGTGGCCCTATTTGCAAAAGTAGCCATTGAGCAATTGGCCCAACATGCATCACTAAGGGCCCATAAGAACCAATTCCATGGAACTCAGTCCAAAGTTGATTCTTCAACAGTCTACTACTGTTCCACGTGGTATGAACGTAGACAATCACGTGGCATCGTCATCGACCACCGGCCTACAAGCGGAGGAAGATTTAGAATTTAAATTTTATGATTCAATTTTTAAAGTTTTCAACATTGAAATCCTTTATATATTTAAAGTTATAAATTTATATCTACTATTTGTATTTGTTACTACTTTTTTAGTATATAAGTTTCTATTACGTATTGAAAATACTAAGTTTAAATGAACTCGATATTGACCACAAGGAGTCAAAGACAATATGGTTAGGCTTTTAATCCTGAGAAACTTTACTTATATTGGGCCTAGGGCTCTACTTCTCTTCCTCTATGTCAAACTTATGTATTCCTTTTGGGTTAGTCTGGGTTTTAGTGTTTGGGCCCTACAATTCACCACCACTGGAACTGTCTCATATTAGGCCCAGCCCAATATCCACAACGTACCGTCCATATAAGATTGGTCCCACATTGGTCGTATCGATCATACATAACATGTGTTTGTACATAGAATTTCGACTTTTCAACATATGGTTAATTATTACGCATGTTATACCCCATCAAATAACTTTACTATAATAAAATTTACATGATTTGATCTAAACATTGTATGCAAGTAAGTATTTATCATAGAACTTCCAGTTATTCGACACCTCTCTTGGTTTAAATGTTCATTATCTTAACACGATATACGAGTCACACTTGTACGTTTTTGTTTGACTAATATTAGGTCCCCTTTTTATATTGTCACACTCGACTTCTATATACATCTTATAATATATTGGTTTTCTAACATTGGTATACATTTTTGCTTTGACTAAAAGATAGTGGCATTAATTGCTAGCAACAACATAATAAAGGCAAATATTTAATATAAATAATTTATAAATTAAGTTGATCTAAAATCTATTTACGGAATGTGAATTTAAATAAATCAAGGCTTAAATATGAATATCAAATATGCATGTTTCAATTTTAGTTAATGTACGAAGAAATTAAAATAGTGCCAAAATGTTTTTTGACGCAGTCGATCTAACAATGGACTTGGTATAACTAGTACTAACTACTAACAACTATATAGTACTATTGAACTATATAGTAGAAAGAGACGATTTATGCTTTGAAATTTATGAGTTCTCATAAATCTCAAATAAAAATAGATAATTTATCAGCAAAGCTTAAGCATGTTTCATTTTGTCATTGGATCACAAATCTACTTTGTTGGTAGGTTCCCAATAAATATTCCTTTATGTTTAATGAATCTCTCAATATATATATTATCAACGTAATAATTAAAGGAATTTCAGGAAACTTGCACAATGATCCACGTGATGACACAAAAACTAAAAAACAAAGGGAAATTCATGAAATTCCACTGGTTTAAGAGTTGTTTACTTATATACACAATATTTCTGCTATTTCTATTTACTTGTCTAATTTTTCTTTTTTACTTGTTCATTTTGACAAATTAAGAAAGGATAATTTTTTTTACCTATTATACCCTCAATTAATTAATTTTGAAAAAGTTAGAACTTCTTGAAAATCTTAAATTTTTAATTCATTTACTTCATAAATAATAGGGGTAAAATGGTAAACTCACTATGTCAATCATTGTTTTCTTAATAGGTGTGCAAATTCAAAAGTGGACAAGTAATTAGGAACATATGGAGTAGTTTGCAATATTATAAATCTTATCAGATTTTGGTGCGTCCAGATATGCGTGTAATTTGTTCAAGGTACACTGTATCCAAGTGTATTTGTATGTATATGAGATATATAACAAATTCCGCTCGCCTCCCTCTCATTCACCCGCCACGATCTCCTATGTATATGGTGTCCCAGATACATGCAAATCAAAGCAGATACATGTATCTAGTGTGCATCGAGTGTGATTCATATGTATCTTAGATACATGACTATCTCGCTCACCTCTCTCCCATCTCGCTCGCCTTCCTCCCTATTTTAGTGTATCTGTTAACAAAAATACATGTACTAATGTGTATCATCCTCAATATATATATATATATATAACTAAAGACGATTTCATTTTCCAAGCTCAAAATATTTATTTTATTGATAATTAGCATGAGAGCTTGTCCTATGTCCCACTATGGAGGATATGAGGCAGACAAGATAATATTCCCTCATACGATCTTTGCATGAAATATAAAAAGATTTGCACAATATGTGTACAAGCAGGATAACACCTCATATAGATCCTTCACATTGAATCCGTCCATATAATTTCACACACTGAAATAATTAATTATTTCAAAAGAATGTAAGATTTTTTATTGTATAAAATTAACTCATACATCTATAAGGCTAAGAATAAAAGGTAAAACAAATGACAAGGGAGGAAAAAATATTAGGTGCAAGTCTTTTGTCGGTATAGTTATTCGATATATTTATATTCGAGAAAGTAAATATTTCGTAAAATTAGTTGAAATATGCATAAATTAACTTGAACAATTATAGTATACCTAATATAATCTTACAAATGAATTTGGAGAGGGTAGGATATACATACATATACCTAATTATTACCTCTGTCTTTATAAAATTGAAAGATTATTTCTGGTAGATCATCGGCTTAAAAGAAGTGTAATCAAAATAGGATTGTAAGAAAAATAATGATAACAAATTAAAATAACAAAATGAACTAAGCAAATAAAGTAATATATAATAGTACAAATATAGAAAAACAAAAGCATACTATGTGAATACTAACTAGTACTACTTTCTTTGTCCCAATTTATGTGTCACATTTCAAATTTCAAGATTCAAACAAGTTTATCTTTGAAAGTAAATTTTTCCTATATCTTTTAAATATTTTGAATTGTCAATTATTGTGAGTTATAGTGCTTTTTACTTAGTTTACAAATATATAAATTAAATTTCATTTCAGAAAAATCAAAGATTTCATGTGCAAATTCTTGATCAAACTTAAATCTCAAAAAATAAAATATATCACATAAATTAAAACATAAGGAATACTGAATAACAAAAAGATAAAAAGAAAAGACTACCCCATGCCTCTCCTGCACAAAAGTTTGACTACCTACCTGCCCCTAATTTCCAACCTTTATATGTTCACTCGAACACTACGATTATAAAAATAATAAATAAACAAATAAGAGTAAAACTTATAAGTTATAACCACCCACAAAAGTTATAAATGAAAATTTATTCTCTCTGCACTCTGCAGGGACATATATTCCTCTTCTAACAAATGATAATAAACTACTATAGTCAATATAGAATAAGAGAAAAAATGTCATTTTCTAATAATTAAACATGGGAAAAGGATAAATATATTTTGAAATATCGTAAATGGTACGTAGATATCCTCCATTATATTTTTGGGATATTGGTGTCTCCTGCCGTCCAAAAACTAGAGCATATATACCCTTTATACTAACGGGCATACGCTTGTCATAATCTTATCCACCGATCCGACATTTATTGAATATCGAATTGACGGATAAGATTGTGCCATATGTCCCTATTTAGTCTTCCGTTAGAGTGAAGGGCATATATGCTCTAGTTTTTGGACGGTAGAGACACCAATGTCCCAAAACTATGACAGATACTATCTGCATACCATTTACGATAGTTGGAATATATTTGTCCTTTTTCCCATTAAACATTAAAGCACTCTCTTTCTCTCTATAAACACATAAAGGTTAAAGCACATAGAAGTAGAACCATCTCAAACATTCCTTTTTCTCAAAAGCTACTAATTTTTCTTTTTTCACCAAAAAATTAAATAAATCCTCCTCCTTCTCCATCAATGGACACTTCTCAATGGCCACAGGTACAAACTCCAAAAATTAGAAATATAGATCTATCTACTTTTTTTAAATTTTGCCTTTTCACTTAATATTTTATGAAATCTTGGTTTCATTATATAAATATATATTGTTGTGTTTCTTGCTACAAATTGAATTTGTGTGTTTTTTAAAAGTTTGATGTAACCCCTTTACTTTCCCCCCTTTATCTATGTGAGATTTTGTAAAGGTTGAAAAAAGAGAAAAAGATCAAGTTTGTTACTTAAAAGTTAAAAAAAAGAGAGTACATATTACAAAGCATAAAGATTCAATTTTTATAACTCCTCTATAATGATATCCTTTAATTTTTCTCATTTTTTAAAAAAATATTCCTTCTTTTTTTTAGGAGATGGTGGTGAAATCCATGGAAGAGATAATAGTACCAAAAAATACAAATTATACAAGGAAAATTAGGCCTCATCAACAACAACAAAAACAACAAAATGATCAAGCTTTGAAGAATTGTCCAAGGTGCAATTCAACAAATACAAAGTTTTGTTATTACAATAACTATAGTCTTTCTCAACCAAGATTTTTTTGCAAGAATTGTAGAAGATATTGGACTGATGGTGGATCTCTTAGGAACATTCCTATTGGTGGAGTTTCAAGAAAATCCAAGAAATCATCATCAAATAATATTATGAAAAATAATCTTATTTCTCCTAAAATACAAGATATTAATAATAATACTCCTAATAATAAAGGGGTTGATCAAGATCTCAACTTGGATTTTTCATCTGATTTCAAGATTATTTCTGAGTTGATCCAAGTACCAAATAATAATTCATTTATGCCAATCATGCCTAGTATGTCTGATCCAAATTCAATTTACTTATTCTCTAGTGATTTGGATCATGGGTTAATTGGAAGTAGTAGTACTAGTGATGGTGGCTATGAATGTAATAATATTATTCAAGATTTGCAAGTGTGTACTACTACTACTACTACAAGTACAACAACAAGTGGAGGGATTTTGTTTCCTTTTGAAGATCTAAAGCAAGTTTCAAACACAAGTGAGCAAAGTAGAGATGGAGAATCATCAAATGGATATTGGGATGTAATTTTAGGAGGAAAATGAGATACTGGTACAACAACATATCCAATATAATTTCCAAAGGTCCGGAGAAGATAGGTCTCTATATCAATTGATTGTTCGAACTCATTGATAATGTTATTAATTGTCGTAGCAATCTTCGTATGATAACTTAGAAATATAGTCTTATAAATTTTCCCAACATGCTATATGTAACATGTATTACTACATATTTACATTGATGCAATTTATTTTTTTACTATATCATTGCATTAAATTCTACTATTATAAGTATTAAGGTGCATCAAAATATAAAAAAGTTTTAAGTTATTTGCATAGTGAATTATTGCACATAAATATTTTAATGATAATCAAGTCTTTCTTTGGAAAAAATGGCACAAGACATCCTATTTTACTAATTGGCAATATATAGCCCTCTTTTATTTTTTTTGACAAAAAAGGGTTTTTAAAAATTAAATTTTGCAATTAGTAGCCCACATATTGGGAAATTCTTTTTTAATTAAATTAAATAATTTTAGGAGGTGGCAACATGGTGTCTTTTTTATTGGGAAGTGGTTTTTTTCTTCCTTTTTTTTCTCTTCTTCCATACACACGTTTCTTTTGAATTGTGTTTTTTTATTGATTATGTAAATATTTATTCAATTCTTTCTTCCTCTTCATTACTTCTTCATTACTTTGAATAAAAGATGATTTACTTTTTGTTTATTAGTTTTACATATTTGAGTTCTATAAAAATATTCGTTCATAGTGTCTATTTTTTCTTTTTCGCTTTAAATTTTTGATGGTTTGTTGATGTCTACTAGTCAATTTCTCTAACTGTTAGCCTATGTTTGATCCCCTCTTGTATTGTCGTTCAATCTTTGGGGGGTTCTAATTTTTGAAATTGAAGGTTATATCTAATTTAGGCAAAAATTTACATAATAGTAATTGATTGTAGGTATCAATTGTCATGTTTAAGAAAGTTATCCCTAGGATTATTCATTTTTTTTTAAAAAGATTCTGATTCTAATTTTGTGGATTCTCCATCCATAACTCTAAATTTTAGCCATGTAAGTTCTTCTCGATATCCAATTCGATTCGTGTGTTTGCTATTGAGCATTTTAAATTTCATGTGCAATCCTCATTTACACACTGAAGAAAGAATCTGAAATGTATACAAATTTTGAGTGAATGAATACATGAATATGTATACATGATTAAAAAAAAATCTTCAATGCAGTGTATACATATTATAAGTGAATGAATACATAAGGTGTTTGATTTTTAAATATGTATACATTGATTTTTTAATATGTATACACTGAAGGGGATAAAATAGCTATAAATGTATACTAATTATAAGTGAATGAATACATAAAGTGTTTGATTTTTAATATGTATACACTGGAGGGGATAACATAACTATAAATGAATACTAATACTAAGTGAATGAATACACGATTATTTTACCTATATACAATCATCAAGTATACAATTGGAATTTTTTTTATCAAGTAACGAACAAAAAAGCATATAAAAATACATAATTTACATTTTTAGGCGGTTACATATTGTATATATAATTTTTGATGTTTCCGTTATTTTTGTTGTTTAGTGATGATTGGTTATACGAGGGGAAAAAAAAACTATTAAAATGTTACTATTTATTAATTTGGGCCATTTTGTGCTTATTTTTTATTTGTCTATTAAATGCTAATTAATGTTGGGCTATTTATTGCTAATTATAACTATAAGTTGTATATATGTGTCATTTCCTTGGGACCCACAAACATTCCCCTTGGGAATCGTGCTAAAGAATAGTTTCTCTCCCACTAACACATAAATATAGCTATACCCTCCAATAATTTATTCCAAATAAAAGAATATTAGTAATGAATAATACTACTCCCTAATTATGTTAATGATAACAATAATAATAGTACTAATACTAACTAATACTCCAGCTATAATATCTTTTGATATATTTCAAAAAGATGGATACATTACTAGTTACTACGTTAGGGAGTTCTTAATTTTGAACTTTTTTATTTCGAACTTAATGATATGTTTTTATATAAAAATGACACAATAGGATAAGAAACAAAATTATATATGTTTAGTTTGTTGTGTATATTTAGTTGATGTATCATTGTTTAAAATTCTTTCTTAAATTTTTGTGCTCAACAATGATTCATACGTGATTTTGACTAATTGTGGTACCTTCTATTGTTACAATTTAACTTATAATTAATAAGTGTTCTTATATATGAGATTGTGTTCCCTTCTAGAATTAATATATTTCTAATACCACAATCAAACTATCCTTTAAATTAATCAGATTTATGTACTTTTCTTTACTATTCTAGGCAAACAAAAATCTCATAAGAATAACATAGCATAATAAAAAAAAAATTCCTCCCAAATTCTTAACAAGGATAACATAATATGTAGCCTAAAACATGATCAACAAATGGATAAGAAAATCTCTCACAATAGTAGGATACACCTGGTATTTCTTAAAAAATATTCTTGTCAAGGTACTGTTATATTATAATATACTCAGTATTTTTATTTCATATTCTATCACAACATCGAAGCGCATTTAAAAAGCGAGACTATATCATATTTATTATGCTAAAAGTTTCATTAATTGTTCCAATCATATTCTTTAATATCTATTATTATATGGATCATATGAATATATACCACTATCTAGAAGTTCCCATGTACAAATATGATCACAATGTTCTGTATGACTTTCAGAACTATAAACCTCAAAACTAGCCTCAGTGTATTTTTCAGAATTAGGATATTTCTTGTACCAAATTTTGCACCAAAATAAAGTTAATTGTGCCCCAAAAATTTGTTTTGAATGAAAACTTATATGTATTACCGATCGAAATCTCATGATCTCCTAAATCATTATCCCTCGATTTGCAACGAACATTTGCTGGGACATGCAACTCGTTCTTCAGTATTACATCTACGTCTTTAGCCCAGAAGAAATCACTATACACGCACGAGGTAAGTTGTGTGAAGGGAAATAGTATGAGACAGATGTAGAACATAGGAAATCTTGTACTCCATTCATCTTTTTAAATGTTGTTCTTTAAACGCACAATATTAAGAGTTTCTTTAATAGTTAATAGGAAATCAATTAAGTACATAAATGCAATTGAGTTAAATTAAATGTATTAGAATTTAAGAAGTAATTGAAGGTAATAAAGCGTTACTGATATATATATATATATGAAGAAAACAAAACAAAATAATCATCAAGGGTGTAAACATGTGATATTATGTCTTAAAAAAATAGTTTCGTAAGTTGATGCTTTATGATTGAAAATTTTCATTAATATTGTTTCATTTTCTTTTCACTTTTGACACTTACTACAATTAAAAAAACTAGTACTATCAACTATGAAAAAATAAATTTAATCGATTTCAATTTATTTGAAATTAAAATCCAATTATTATTATCTAAAAAGATATAAACTCTTTGTCCCAAGTACATAATACTATTTTTACACTATGATATTGTATTTTAATATTCTCGAGTTGAGGTAAAAATCATTCCTTCGTAATTGTAAATAATTTTTTTTCCCAATCTTTCAACCTTACTTATTCATATTAATGTCTATATCTAACTAATAAATAAATGACATGCATTTGGTTGTTTGCAACTATGCATATACATTTTTAAAATTTAGTTATGGTTAAATTATACTTTATTTCTCCCAAATTATATGTGATAGTTTCCTTTGCAATTTGATTGAAAAAAGAATGTTTATTCAATCAATTTTAAATTTTCCATTTTAATTTTAATGAGACTATTTATTAGCACACAATTTTTATAAGTACTCCCACCATTTCTATTTACATGTTGTTCTTATAAAAAATAGATGTTGTTTAATATTTGTCATTTCATAAAATCAATGCATAAAAGATACGTAATATTTTTCCTATGAAAAAATTCTTTTGGCCAGAAAATGGTAAAATAACATATTTCATACTATGTTATTTTACCTTTTTGAACATTTTTACATTTTTAACTTTAATAGTACCTTTTAATTCAAAAAATGAAAAAAAAATCAGTTTATTTTAAAATAAAAAAGATATTATAAACTTTTTAAATTTCTGGCCATTTAGCATTACCTTTTCCTATTTTACTCTTGAGAGTTATTAAACATGAATTATTTTATTCATGTTCATTGGTCAAATTAATTAATCAAAACAAATTAATTTCATGTTCATTTATTGAAAATTTGACTTCAAGAGAACATAAAAAATAAGGATAAAATAGTAAACTAGCCTAATTTGTTAAAGGGCGTGAAACCTAAAATGACGACAACTAAATAGGAACGAAGGGAGTAATTAGATCACAAGTTTACACAAACTCCCTTCATTCTAAGATTTTGTATCTAGTCAAACACCATAATTTAATTATGACGATAAATACTCCATCTATTCCTATTTATATGTCGTCCTTACTAAAAATAGATGATTCTTGATATTTTTGTCATTTCACAGAAGCAATATAGAAATGACATTATTCTTCCTATTTTATCCATCAGAGTTGTTAGCTTTGAAAGTATGAATTTGACCTACATAGGAAACTAAATGATTAATACATGTTCATTGGTCAATTTAATTAATCAAAATAAATTAATTTATGTTCATTTATTAAAAACTTGATTTCAAGAGATCACTAAATAAGGGTATAATGACAAACTTAACTAGTTTCTTAAGGAACGTGAAGTCTAAAATGATAACATATAAATAGGAACGAAGGACACGAATTGCGATAAGATGATGTTCTTATAGAAAATCAAACGACGTCATATTACGCATGATTGGCCTCTTATCTTTACGTCTGAAAAACACAGGGAGTGGCAAATTTGTTATTCTCAAGAAAGGTCAGGGGTATTTCTGTATATAAATGAATCATTTTCATCGTTCTCAATTTCACTTTCTCCTGGATATTTCATCGAACAGGTAGTAGTCAAAACCCTATACTTCTTCAGAAATTGTTAGCATAATCGGAAGAATTTCGAGTAGGAGAGATCAGAAATGGGCGATGTAGCTGATAAAGTAGCTTATTTTCAAGCGATTACTGGACTCGATGATCCCGATTTGTGTGCGGAGATTCTCACCGCACATAATTGGGATCTCGAATTAGCGCTATCAAATTTCACTTCCAATCCTCGTGCTGCTGATGATGCAAATGCATCTGAAGCTACTACTTCTAGCACGAATCCTGAA